GAGGGGGGGGCGATTGTCCTTGGGGAGAACGAACCGCTCGGTCCCGCACTTGAAAAAACGGACCAGGTGCCCTCACTGCAGTCATGAGGCGCATCCAAAGGCCAATGTCCTTATGGTCCCAATGCAATGAAGGGCGAACAGCCCTCCGCTGCCTAAACTGCTCATCGTACCGGAGCCATGCGGTCCCCCCTTAAACCCTGTGAGCCTCGCTAATGGCGTCAAGGTAACAAAAAAGTGCCAAGCAATGCTCAGGAGCCTTCTCCCCAATGACACTTGCCATGATTGCGAACGCCTGCATCCAATTCGCAAAGGTACGCGGGATAAAGCGAAAAAAACGCTTCTCTGCTTCCTCCCGCCTGCCCTCGTCAACCCGTGACCCATCCAAAGGAAAATGCTCCAAGGGCAAGAGTGTGAAGATCTCCACATAATCACCTCTCCAAATCTTCTCTCGAACTTCCGACTGTAAGTGCGCACCCAAAAGGCCCTCGAAGCACACGTACACCTCGCACTTGGCCGAGTCCGCCAAGCCGACAGTTCCGCACCCTCATCCAAAACAGTGGAACCCAGAGCACTGGTTTCCGCCATAACCACCCCTGGCCCAGAACCAGAAGGAGAAGAAACCCCCGGGCTCCGCACGTCCCCCCCCGTCCTGCCCTAGGACCCTGAACCCTTCCCCACCAGCCGGCGGGAGCCACGCCAAAGCACTACCGCTCCACTCAAGTTGCCGCAACAAGTCCCGCAGACCGGAAATCAAATCGCAGCGACCCCCACACCGAAAAACCTGACGCGGGAACGCCTACATCTCTCACCGCATAGGCCGCGCCCCCACTTTCCCCCAAACAGGTCCCGTAGCGCAGAAGAAAAGGAAACAGGTAACTCACCAGGCTGCCCAGGAGATGTCCCATCAGCCGCGCGACCAAACTCCAGCAAAGCTGAGCGGCCAGCTGTCGCCCCCGCATCGGGTTCCGACAGCTCGTCCTCCGATCTCTCGTCATCCACTCGACGGCTGCATGGCCTCCCCGGTCCCAGGAGCCACGGGTCCCTCAGGGCTGCGCCGCTGCCGATTCCGCCTTCCGGCACCAGCCACGCCCACTGACGTCCCCGGGCTCCGTCCTGTATCGCTCCCTGCAGCACTCCCGCCCAGCGCTGCCTTTCCTCCTGTGTTTCTTCGGAGCCGCCACTCCAGGCTTCCCAGGGGGCCCGCCGGCTGCAGCAGGGGACAGCCCGGCAGCCACACCGGTGCATCTCCTCGTTGGGCTCCCTCCCTGACAGGCACCTTGTCAGTGGAGGAGCCGTTGATGCCCCGTCTCCTTTGCCGCGCGGGCGGGTGCCTTCCTCCGCATGAGACCCCGCCCGCCGAGCTCCGCCGTTGATGGGGATTCCTCCCGGCTTCACCACGAGCAGAGGCAAGAGAGCGCCCTGCCAGCGGGGCCGGAGGGTCCCGAGCGGGGCTCCCACTGTGGTGCTGAGCTCTGGGGGAGGGGGAGCCTGGACTAAAGAGCTCCGAGGCCTAGACCTCCGGACACAGTGGGCGCTCCCGCCCCCCTGCCTCTGGTGACGAGCCCGGGTCCTGCAGTAAGGCAGAGACCCAGCTCTGCAGCCAGTCCATCTGTCAGGAATGGACTGGCCAGCAATGGTGGGACTCGCCTTCCTTTTGATCTGCAGTACCAGGGCTGGCCAGCGGGTGCTCCCAGCAATCAGAGACTCAACCTTTCAGCCAGCTAACACCTGGAACTGATTATACTGGTGTATTTAAGGGATGGCCAGACCTGCAGACTCTGCCTTGGTGTTGTGTTTGTCCTGGGTCCTGTATCTGTCCTGCATCCTGTTTCTGTTCCTTTGCTGACCCTGGCTGATCTGAACCGCTGCTGACTTCTCCTGCTCTGATCCCGGCTCGCTCCTGACCATCCCTCTGCCTGACCCTCTGTACCACGCTGCTTGCTACCTGTTCTGATCCCTGGCTTGTGACCCTGACCATCCCTTGCCTGACCCTCTGTACTACGCTGCTTGCTACCTGCTGAACCTGGCCTGTGACCCCGAAATCTCCGCTTGCTCCCCCTGTACCTACCTGCCCTATTGATATTGACCCGGCCTGCCTGACGACGCTTGCTTGTATGTACTGTTATCTGTGGGTGGTTGGTTTGGTTTGTTTGCACTGTATTATGTTTTTAGTATTGCACTGCGTTTATGTTTGTATTGTTAGTGTTAATAAATTATATTGTTTATCACATATCTGAAGTCTGCGTTTCCCTGCGTCAGTCACACACCTCTGGTCACACTCGGGAGCCCTGACATTACACCAAGGCCAATCCTGACCAGAAGTGGCTGCACAGGGAAGCCATCTTGGTTTGTTGATGGGAAGGATGGATCTGGATGAGGTTGTGTATTTATATCTGCTAGTGTTTGATGACAGGGAGTATGCTTATCAAACTCTGAAGGAGTATCCCCGGAATGAACTGCTAGAATGTATACGGCTCGCTCATGTTCTAGTAGATCAGGGCACAGAGTTCTCTGAGGTGCAGCCTTTGATTGAGGTTTGTGCTGAGTTGGTTTCATCTGGTACCCCCCGAATGCAGGGATGAATTTTTGCCACCATTTAGTGCAGACCAGGTAGAGTCCCTGGTGTGGTTATTAGAGGATGATGTGGGTTACTTTCTGGAGCGTTATTCCAAATGTTCACCACAGGTACTAAGAGATTGTATAAACGCAGTGCAGTCTTTGGTCAGACAGGCTTTGTGTAAGCTCAGCTTTGTTCAACCCATACTGCAGACATGGACAGACTTGTTGCACCCAGCCTCAGTCAGCTTACAAAAACCCAGTCCTGCTTCTAATCTATTTCCTCAAAACTCTATTCCTGCATTCCCAACAACTCCTCCTGCCCTGCTATCTACCGCATGTCAGTACCCTGTTCCCACTCGCTGCACCTATCCTGCCTTTAACCCTGTAAAAAAGCCCTCTGTAGCAACTGCTCCCTCTCCTGTTCCATCCTCCAGTTCTTCTCTGTCTCCAGCTGCTCCATTCGTTTGCAGACCTGCGTTTACTTGCAGTGCTCCAGTAGTTAAAACCAGAAAAAAAGCGAAAATTCTTTCCAACCAATACCATCCTGCCAGTATCCAAACCGGTGAACCTGCCTTCCGTGGTTCAGCCTGAAGCCTCTACTCAGCCTGAAGCCTCTACTCAGCCTGAATCCTCTACTCAGCCTGATGCCTGTACTCAGCCTGGTGCCTCTACTCAGCCTGATGAACTGATCCAGCCTGATGATCCTATTAGGCCAGTTGACTCGATACCCGCTGTTGATCCAGACGATCCGGTACCTGATCCAGTGCCCGCTGTCGTGCCAATTGACTCAGTGCCCGCTGTCGTACCTGGTGACTCGGTGCCCACTGCCTTGCCAGATGACGCGGTGCCCGCTGGCGAGCCAAATGACCTGATGCCTGGTGACCCAGTGCCCGCTGTCATACCTGGTGACCCGATGCCCGCTGTCAAGCCAGACGATCCAATGCCTGGTGACCCGGTGCCCGCTGTCGTGCCAATTGACTCAGAGCCCGCTGTCGTACCTGGGGGGTTGGTGCCCACTGCCTTGCCAGATGACGCTGTGCCCGCTGTCGAGCCAAATGACCTGATGCCTGGTGACCCAGTGCCCGCTGTCATACCTGGTGACCCGATGCCCGCTGTCGAGCCAGACGATCCAATGCCTGGTGACCCGTGCCCACTGCCTTGCCAAATGACGTGGTGCCCGCTGGCAAGCCAAATGACCTGATGCCTGGTGACCCAGTGCCCGCTGTCATGCCAGTTGACTCGGAGCCCACTGTCGTGCCTGGTGACTCGGTGCCCCGCCGCTTCGCCTGGGGATCCGTGCCCGCCGCTCCGCCTGAGGGCCCGAGACCTGTCGCTCCGCCTGGGGGTCCGGCGCCCGCCGCTCCGCCTGAGGGCCCGAGACCTGTCGCTCCCGCCTGGGGGTCCGGCGCCCGCCGCTCCGCCCGCCTGAGGGCCCGAGACCTGTCGCTCCGCCTGGGGGTCCGGCGCCCGCCGCTCCGCCTGAGGGCCCGAGACCTGTTGCTCCACCTTGGGGTCCGGCGCCCGCCGCTCCGCTTGAGGGCCCGAGACCTGTCGCTCTGCCTGGGGGTCCGGCGCCTGTCGCCCCGCCTGGGGGCCGGTGCCTGTCGCCCCGCCTGGGGGCCCGGTGCCTGTCGCCCCGCCTGGGGGCCCGGTGCCTGTCGCCCCCGCCTGGGGGCCCGGTGCCTGTCGCCCCCGCCTGGGGGTCCGGTGCCTGTCGCCCCGCCTGGTGGCTCGGTGCCTGCTGCTCCGCCTGGTGGCTCGGTGCCTGCTGCTCCGCCTGGTAGCCCGATGTGCCTCTGCCCGGAGTCCTGCCCGATGTGCCTCTGCCCGTAGTCCAGCCCGATGTGCCTCTGCCTGATGTGCCTCTGCCCGATGTGCCTCTGCCCGGAGTCCAGCCCGATGTGCCTCTGCCCGGAGTCCAGCCCGATGTGCCTCTGCCCAGAGTCCAGGTGCCCGCCCGATGTGCCTCTGCCCAGAGTCCAGCCCGATGTGCCTCTGCCCGTAGTCCAGCCAGCCGATGTGCCTCTGCCCGATGTGCCTCTGCCCGATGTGCCTCTGCCCGGAGTCCAGCCCGATGTGCCTCTGCCCAGAGTCCAGCCCGATGTGCCTCTGCCCAGAGTCCAGCCCGATGTGCCTCTGCCCAGATGTGCCTCTGCCCGATGTGCCTCTGCCCCGGAGTCCAGCCCGATGTGCCTCTGCCCGGAGTCCAGCCCGATGTGCCTCTGCCCGGAGTCCAGCCCGATGTGCCTCTGCCCGGAGTCCAGCCCGATGTGCCTCTGCCCGGAGTCCAGCCCGATGTGCCTCTGCCCGGAGTCCAGCCCGATGTGCCTCTGCCCGAGTCCAGCCCGATGTGCCTCTGCCCCGGAGTCCAGCCCGATGTGCCTCTGCCCGGAGTCCAGCCCGATGTGCCTCTGCCCGGAGTCCTGCCCGATGTGCCTCTGCCCGGAGTCCTGCCCGATGTGCCTCTGCCCGGAGTCCAGCCCGATGTGCCTCTGCCCGGTGTGCCTCTGCCCGATGTGCCTCTGCCCGATGTGCCTCTGCCCGATGTGCCTCTGCCCGGTGTGCCGCTGCCCGGAGTCCTGCCCGGTGTGCCAGTCTTTGATATCCCGCCAGTTACCAGACCCGGGCGGTGGAACATTTTGCCCAGCTAGGACTGTTTGGAGCGTCCTGAGGCCGCTCCTTGAGGGGGGGGGGGGGGTACTGTCAGGAATGGACTGGCCAGCAATGGTGGGACTCACCTGCCTTTTGATCTGCAGTACCAGGGCTGGCCAGCGGGTGCTCCCAGCAATCAGAGACTCAACCTTTCAGCCAGCTAACACCTGGAACTGATTATACTGGTGTATTTAAGGGATGGCCAGACCTGCAGACTCTGCCTTGGTGTTGTGTTTGTCCTGGGCCCTGTATCTGTCCTGCATCCTGTTTCTGTTCCTTTGCTGACCCTGGCTGATCTGAACCGCTGCTGACTTCTCCTGCTCTGATCCCAGCTCGCTCCTGACCATCCCTCTGCCTGACCCTCTGTACCACGCTGCTTGCTACCTGTTCTGATCCCTGGCTTGTGACCCTGACCATCCCTCTGCCTGACCCTCTGTACTACGCTGCTTGCTACCTGCTGAACCTGGCCTGTGACCCCGACCAATCTCCGCTTGCTCCCCCTGTACCTACCTGCCCTATTGATATTGACCCGGCCTGCCTGACGACGCTTGCTTGTATGTACTGTTATCTGTGGGTGGTTGGTTTGGTTTGTTTTTGCACTGTATTATGTTTTAGTATTGCACTGCGTTTATGTTTGTATTGTTAGTGTTAATAAATTATATTGTTTATCACATATCTGAAGTCTGCGTTTCCCTGCGTCAGTCACACACCTCTGGTCACACTCGGGAGCCCTGACACCATCCCTTTTGAGGCCCCAGCCTAACACAGCTGGGCCAACAGTCCTTCCATGACAGCTGCCACTGTCCGTACACCGAGTCAAGCTCTCTCACCAACGTCCAGCTGACGTCCCCCCCACCAGGACACCTAACCCTAAGGTGCAGAAGAGCCCACCCACGCTCTCCCTCTACCAACCAGCTCCCCAGCTATACTTTTCAAACCCCATGGCACTATACTTAACCCTTACTATTCTTCCTTCCCACTCTAGGCCTAGTCATGCCTGCCCTGCGCTAATTCTTTTTTCTTTTCGGGCATTTCTTATCTGTACACTACTGAAACTTGAACAAAAATGAGCTACATGTTCAAGTTGACAGAAAGAAGCCTTTACTGCGCCAATACCGCAAACAAGCCCAGTTACAATATCCTTGACAACACCTTCACACACCTCACAGGCACACTGTAATCTGGAGTGATGAGACCAAAATAGAGCTTTATGGTCACAACCATAAACACTATATTTAGAGAGTAGTCAACAAAGCCTATAGCGAAAAGGATACCATCCCCACTGTGAAGCATGGTGGTGGCTCACTGATGTTTTAGGTGTGTATGAGCTCTAAAGGCACAGGCAATCTTGCTAAAATTGATTGCAAGATTAATGCAGCATGTTATCAGAAAATACTGGCAGACAATTTGCATTCTTCTGCACGGAAGCTGCGCATAGGACGCTTTTGGATTTTCCAGCACAACAATGACCCTAAGCACGAGGCCAAGTTGACCCAACAGTGGTTGCAGCAGAAAAAGGTGAAGGTTCTGGAATGGCAATCACAGTCTCCTGACCTTGATAGTATCATTTTTGCTGTGGCATGTGTACAATGCCATATGGCTGCCTTTGCAGCTTAAGGGGGAGGCAGTAAAGACATAGCTCAACTGCCTATTTTTACTGCTCTCAACCACAAGTGAAAACAAGCCTGTACATTATTCATTCTGCAGTGAAAGCATGCAAATGCACAGTCACTGGATAATCTTAGATAATAAAAAAATTTAGCTATAAATAAACTTAAAAGTGACCATCCCTGTCACCACCTACTTTTTATGATGAACATATAACCAAATGTCCCTCCCCAAAGGATATGACGGACACCATCAGAAGCCTATGGCTTCCACTGGTCTAAGAGTCCCCTGTGAAACCAAGAAAGAGGGAGCAGTGGAGCTGCAGCTGGGACAGTGCTGGAGGCTGGGATGGGCAGTGGGGGGGGGGGGGGGGAGTTAATGGGATGCAGTGAAAGCATTAAGAAAAAAAGCTCCTAGATGTTAGAACCATTTAAGCAAATATAAAGACACTATAAAGCTGGCCATGCACTGTTTGTTTTTTTCTTTCATTCTACCTGCAGACTGAATGAAAAAAAAATTTTCTCCATAAAACACAAACAAGCTTAATAGAGGAATCCCCCGCGGCAGGATATCGTATATTGTTGATTATAGCTGATTAGCTGCAGCTGCTGATCAATTAAAAATTTCCAACATATGGGTTCTGCAAAACATTGTGTTCAAAATATTGATTGTAGGCAGGTGCAGTCCGCTTTCTCCACTGTAGGTGGCGCTCAACCAGAGTGGTGCCACAGCCTGGAGAGAAAGTCAGGAGAAACCTGGTTTCTCTATGGTTTCCTGTTCCCTGAGGGCAGCATCCTGGTTGGCTATACTGCATTCAGGTGACCCCTGGCAGCCATCTTGGGTCAGCAGAGCCTTCCCCCAGGTTTTGGCGCACTTTTGCGAAGTGGTCAGAGTAGGGAAAGATCACCCATCTTTCAGGGAAAGTGAATAGTGGCACAGAAAGGTTCCTGGTGAATAAAGACAAGCTAGGGATATTCAATCCTACACAGAAGCCTCCACATTGGGACCAGACCAGCCAGGCCGCATTTTGCCCTCTGAAGACAGGTGCTGCCTCTCTGCACTGAACTGTGAGTTTTATCCGATGCAGAGCTCTCCCGCTCAGGCTGTTTGTAGTTGAGTGTACTCTTCAGTAAAAGTTTTGAGTTATCTGCAACCAGACTTTGTGTCATCACTGCCACAGCACCATGCTGCACCAACCCCTGCTGATTTGGTCAAAAATCAATCTATGTATGGCCATCTTTATTAAGGGCGAATTCAAACAGGATTGGACAGCTGACATAGCATTTTACCTCTCCGGCAGTTGTCCATTTCTGACTGCATTAAGGGACAGTGTGGTGCGCTAATCAATGCATCACACACAGCCCCTTTTTGTACAAACTTTATTTGAAATGTGCAAAAATACACTTCTTTTATGTCACTGTACAGCTGCTCTGCTGCACAGAACCATGTGATTCTGTACAGTGCACTGCAATAAAGTGCAGCATGCCTGTGAGAGAAGCTCTGTGCTGCATTGCAGTATGAATGGGACACACAGAAATAATTGTTTTCTGTGTGTGCTTGCGGTGACAGGCATTTTACAATGCAGTAAAACGCCTGTCACCACACTATGTGTAAACTCACCCTCAGTGTTAATGTTATATACAATGTATTTTAGGATATGTTCAGCCTGTAAAGTATAAAGTAGTGACAAGGTGACTTTTAAGCACGCAACAATTGAAGCCTACCTTCCGATAATATTTTTTTTAAAGCTGAAGCTTAGTGAAAAACAGCGCTTACCAGCAATGAAATCCCCAGTCCACTGCTGCTGGATATCCTCACAGTTGCGATCTTCTGGTGTGGCAGGGTTTATTTCATCAGTTGCAGCTGTGATGGGCACTCATCAAAAGTGCCAACTATGCCTGCCCTTTCTGCCCCAAATTTCAGCCAATCAGGTGTCTCCTTTCCTCTCTCCATCCACGGCCCAGGAGAGAAAGAGTAGGCTGCCACAAGGATATCTGGGCTGTGTGACTCCTGTCTCTTATAGTGGCTGCCACTCTACATTGTGGATGGACACTCTGGGGGGGGGGGGGTTGGACCTCCATATTTTCTCCATCCCTTATCTACGCCCCAAAGGTCATGTTCCTTAAAACAGCAGAATGGCACTTGAAATCCTTGGATGAATACAAAAACCCTATGTCATAGCTCCTAGGATTTCAATTAAGAAAGTCACAGTAGGAAAAAATGTTAAGATCCTTGAACCAGCAGGTGGTGAATAATGTACTGTACACCTCTCTATACCAGGAGAGGGGGAAGCCACCTTTACTGATACATGGCTTGGTCCGCTTCAGGAGATTACCCCCGCTTTTCTGTCCTGACTTTCCTCACCTTCCCCTCCCTTCTTTTTTTTTTGAGAAGCCCAGCCTGGCATCTTCCTCGGGATTATTGAAGATCTGTCTGCCTAATTTTATTGGGGTGGTCTTGGTGACAAGGATTGCTTAGTTACATAGTTACATAGTTGGTCTGGCTGAAAAAAGACAAACGTCCATTCAGTTCAACCATAAAAAAAAAAAAAAAAAAAAGTTACAATCCTATACCCACAGTTGATCCAGAGGAAGGCAAAAAAACCCCAGCAAAGCATGATCCAATTTGCTCCTGCTAGGAAAAAAATTCCTTCCTGATCCCCCGAGAGGCAATCGGATATTCCCTGGATCAACTTTTACCTAGAAATGTTAGTATCCAGTTATAGTCTGTGTATCTAAGAAAAAATCCAGGCTCTTTTTGAAGCAATCCACTGAGCTGGCCAGAACCAACTCCTGAGGGAGTCTATTCCACATTTTCACAGCTCTCACTTTGAAGAAACCTTTCCGTGTTTGGAGATTAAATGTCTTTTCCTCCAGATGTAAAGCATGCCCCCTTGTCCTCTGTAATGGCCTCAGGGTGAATAGCTCTACACCGAGTTCACTATATGAACCACTGATGTATTTATACATGTTGATCATATCCCCCTTAATCTCCTCTTCTCAAGAGAGAATAAATTCAGTTCCTCTAATATTTCCTCATAGCTGATCTCCTCCATTCCTCGTATCAGTTTGGTTGCCCTTCTCTGTACTTTCTCAAGTTCCCCAATGTTCTTTTTGTGAATTGGTGCCCAAAACTGAACTACATATTCCAGATGAGGTCTTACTAATGATTTGTACAGGGGTAATATGATCTCTCTCTCTCTGGAGTCTATACCTCTTTTAATACAAGAGAGGATTTTGCTCGCTTTAGAAACCGCAGCGTGGCATTGCATGTCATTATTAAGCTTGTGATCTACCAGAACCCCCAGATCCTTCACCATTGATTCCCCCAATTGTACGCCCCCTAGTTTGCATGATGCGTGCATATTCTTAGCCCGCAAGGGCATAACCTTACATTTATCAACATTAAACCTCATTTGCCACATAGTTCCCAATTAAACATTGAGCATTGAGGTTGGCTTGTAAGTTGAAGACATCCTGTAAGGACGTTATTCCACTGCACAGCTTGGTGTCATCTGCAAAGACTGAAATGGGATTTTTAATCTCAGACCCTATATCGTTTATAAATATATTAAAAAGTAAGGGTCCCAACACTGAACCTTGGGGTACACCACTGACGACCCTAGACCATTCAGAGTATAAATCATTAACCACTACTCTCTAAATACGATCTTTTAGCCAGTTTTCTATCCATTTTATATACAGATTTTTCCAAGCCCGTAGACTTTACCCTACACCTTAAACATGTGTGGAGAACTGTGTCAAACGCTTTAGCAAAATCCAAGTATAGCACGTCCACCACCACCCCTCTGTCCAAGGTTTTGCTCACCCCCTCATAAAAAGAAATCAGATTTGTTTGACAACTTATGTCTTTCATGAATCCATGCTGTCTGTTGATTAAAATATTTTTTTTTCCAGCAAGAACTCATCAATGTGGTCTTTTATTAAACTCTCCAGTATCTTCCCAACTATAGAAGTTAAACTAACAGGTCTATAATTACTTGGAAA